GGTGCTCCGTCTTCTCTGCCGCGCCAGCTCCTCTGCGGCCTCCCTATTCATCGCCCAGCTGTCACGCGCATGCACGCATCGGGGTGCTCCGTCTTCTCTGCCGCGCCAGCTCCTCTGCGGCCTCCCTATTCATCGCCCGGCTGTCACGCATGCGCGCATCGGGGTGCTCCGTCTTCTCTGCCGCGCCAGCTCCTCTGCGGCCTCCCTATTCATCGCCCAGCTGGCACGCGCATGCACGCATCAGGCGCGTCTTAACCCTCACAATGGCACCTTAACGAAGTCTCGTGCAGCAGGCCTGCCCAATGCACGATGTCCTTTGGCTTCTTGACTGCTGCCCCTGGAGCGTGGGTGATGGCGTCACGCATGATGAAACCCTGGACAACGGATCGGGCACATCTGTGACATCTTGTTTCTCCCATAGGCCAGTTCAGTGTGTTCTTTAAATCTGAGCAAAATCTCTCAACCTAGCTGGCTTTCTAATAGAGGCTGCCGTGGCCTCAGGATGACTGGTGGTGCAGTAGTAAAATGCTCAGCTGCCAAGCAAAAGGCGGCTTGTTCAAACCCATCAGGAGAAATAGGTGGCAGTGTTTGAGTTCTCCGGTGGGTCATACCTCGGTTCTTGGCTTCACACAAGAAAAAATTCACACTGAAGCCTAGTTTGTGATCCATGTGGGTTTTTATAAAGGATGGGAAAAGTTTCAGGTTTTACAGTCTCAAAAAAAGTACCCACTATTTGGGGGAAGCGTGTCAAACCTCACGGAAGCCACACTAGGGCTCACCACTGAACTTGAGCAACCTCATGGGACTGCTCACCCACACGTGGCGACCTGAGGCCAGAGAGACCACGGCACAGCCAAGCGGGCACAGGGCAGGGTCCCAGGGAGAGGGCCAAAGGCCGAAGGGGAGGCGTGGTCCAAGGTATTGGTTGACCCCATTGGCTGAATCAAGCCCACCTGGTGGGGGCCTGAATTGTAGCATGCCCACTGAAAGGGTCCTTATAGGTGTTTAATGCTTGCCTGATTTCTTCCCAACCTCCTGTAGGGGCCCTTTAGGGCTGGAGAGCAGCAACCCTGCCCTGTTCTGCTACCTAACAGTAGCTCGCTTCTCTGAGGATGACAGCCTTGGAAAGCCGATTCTGCTGCTTCCTAGAGGGCCCCTCTGAGTTGGCATTAACTGACGGCAGGTTTTGGTTGCTACACAGACCCGTGGCCGCATTACCCCTTGGAGAGTAGGGTTTACATTACCATGTGGAGTGGCAGTGGCCTGAGCCCTGGGCAAGGCAAGGTGACTCCAGAGTGAGGAGTTGAGTGGATGGACAACAAAGCCCTGGCCCTCAGAACACTTTGCTGTAGCTCCTCTGCTGGTGTGTCACTGCGCTAAAGCTGTCTGCCTTTCCCCTTCCAGGAAGGGTTTGACGCCCTGGACCCCTTTGCCCCCATCCTGGTCTCCAACTACAACCCCAAAGAATGGGAAGGCTGTATTCACTATTATATGGAGAACAGTTGGCTTCAGCATGAGAAAGGTCAGGTTTGTTTGTGTTTTGTTTTTTCAGGGCTTTGTGCTCTCTGAATCAGAGCCTTGATCACGCCTCTCTCCGCAGCAGCCTGTCATTTGCATTTTATTCTTTTCACCACTGTATCCTTACTTATTTCTAGTTAATTAAGTGGTATCAGAAGCGGGGGCTGGGGTGTGTTAAGGTTTAACTTACAAGAGAGATTATATCGCTTCCTAAATTGTGGTCATCACCCCAAATACAATGCTCGTCCTAAAGGAGGAGGCCAGGCCAAATCCAGCCACAGGGCAGTTCTCCGCAGTCTCTCGCTGTCGCTGTCTTTCATCACTTAGCAAACTTTGATGGGGTGGCAGGTGTCCCGGGGTATCCACAAAATATTGCATACTGTGTGCAGGCTGCCCTGCAGAGAGGAGCCCTGCTAGCATACTGGTTACATGCAAAGTCGACCGTTCAAAACCACCCCCCACTCCTCATATGGGGGACATTTACTACTCTCATCAAGAGCTCATCTTGGAAACCCACAGGGACAGTGTCCACTCTGCCCTCCAGAGGTGCTCCGAGTCAAAATCCATTCTCTGGCAGTGCGTTTGAGTTGTGGGAGAGCCAGCTGTATTAGTGAGGAGGGGCCAGCCAGGCTTTTCAAACACAGATCATGGTCGACTCTGACCATAAGTCTTCCAACTCGTCACTTCACCCTTGCCCTCACCTGTGGACATGAGCGAGGCTGTCCTGTCAGCTGTCATTAAAGTAGGTTGCCCAAGGGTGGAGAGAAAAGTCTAGAAGAAGCTGCAGCATGGTGGATTTGGGGAACAAAATGAGCGATGCCCACGGGGACTGGGAGCTTGGACAAAGCCCTAGTACAGGAGGGAGGAATGCTGGATCCCAGGGATAGAGACAGAAAGGGGAGATTAGTCATAGGGAAAACACCCTTGATGAGGTAAAGGGTCTAGCAGTCCCTCTCTTGGGACAGGGCAGTCTGAGTATCACCTGGCCTCTGGCTACAGAGTGTCTGGGAAATATAGGTGCAACCCGAGGGGCTCACCTTTTTCCGTCTGACTCATTACAGCGCACACAGAGGAAGGGCTGAAGGAGCTGCTGTTTCTGAGTAATGCGAACCCTGAGCAGCTGGAGCGGCTCTGTGCCTACCGCTAGGCCAAGGTCACAGCACACCGCCCGGGACCCTGGCAGATGAGGAAGCCCCAGGGAGCGCAGGACGGCGGCTCCTGGCCATCATTGGAATGGGCTCCTTCGGACCCAGCTGTCTCCACAATCAGGCAGCCTCGTTCCTGAGACACACTCGTTTACTAGATGTGGCTTTCTGACATGCCCATGGCTGTATTCCTCTAATAAAGGTAAATGTCTTTTGTAAAGCGTGTTGTTACTTTTTTTTTTCCACTCATTTTATTAGGGGCTCATACAACTCTTGTCACCATACATACATCAATTGTGTAAAGCACATTTGCAGATTCATTGCCCTCATCATTCTCAGAACATTTGCTCTCCACTTAAGCCCCTGGCATGTTGTTACATTCTTGACATAAAAAAAAAAATCCATGTCTGCGTCACAGGTCTAAAGAGACTTAGTCCTACAGAAATTTTCAGACCATACAATCCAGGTGATTACAATGCACAGCTTAATTTCTCCTTCCCGGCCACCTCCACCCTCACTCCCTAGCTCCCCTCTTCCCGAGGGTCCCTGAGAGCTGCGCGGGAACTCGGGCATTTGCACGTGGCCCAGCCCCTTCCTGCCAGTCCTTGAGAATTAGCTGTACACCTCTGCGCACGCACTCCCTTTTCTTGGCTGCAATGCTCCCGAGTCGTCCTGACTCGGTGCCACCCTTGGAAGATGGGGAAGGAATCACCCAAAGGATCAGCATTCCATTCCCTGGGACCGGCTCGTGGCCTAGAGCTGTCCCGTGAGTGAGCTGCACAGGGGCTTCCCAACGTCATGGAATAGCTCCATTTTAACTGTCATTTCCCATGAACTATTTGGAGCCCCGCAGAGGTTTCAGGGACTCTTACTCCCTTCTCTACAGAATGACGCCAGTTTGCAAGAAGGAGGTTGTAAAATGCCTGGCATACTGCTGTCAGTTGTCATCAAGTCCGGTAGGGTCTTCCAGGGGTCTCTTAGGCTCCAGCCCACTGCTGTGGCCGCTGGGCACTTTGAGTGCCTTCCAGCCTGGTCAGATGATGATCTGTGACCCAGATAACGGGTCACGTGGTCCCAGCTCCTTTTCAGGGGTAGATCACCAGACTTTTCTTCCAAGTCTGTCTTAGTCGGCATAACTACTGGAACTTGTCCACCCAAGGTGACTTACTGGTTTCTTAACTTCCCACGGCATAGCTTCCACCATCAGAACAACACAAGTCACTGCAGGATGGCAGACTCGACAGAAAGCTTGGAGTAACACATGATAGGTACTTAGTTCGTTTGTACTTATCTTTATAACTTAGATTTTACAATGCTTTGAGGATCACAGTAAGCGATAAGGTCTATACATATGTGAGTCCTCCTTTTTTCTCAGCTAGATTCCTTTACTTCTAAGCCACCTTAACAATTCTTTATCAGTATTTTCACTCTTGACCTAATCCCTGGTCACCTATTTTGGTGGCCGTGTAATTCGTCACTTGAGCTAGACAGGTGCTGCAACACCAAGACCCAACACACAGCCACCTAGCCCTCAGTGGAAAGGCCGAATCCACGGAATCAGCCCCTTTGGCTATGTATGTCTTTAGTCATTCTGCTTTCTCATTGGCCTGGATAGAAAAGCTTGTCGTGACGGGTCATCATCCCTTTAGATTTACCTGAATGCTCAACTTGTTATGACCTCTACGTTCGGGTCACATGCCCAGCACTTCTTGCTTGATTTACTGTATTTGCAGCTGCTTGTGCCTCCCTCTATGTCATCTGGAAAGGGTCTGCCTGAGGTGAGCTTCCTAAGCCCAGGCTGTCAAGGCATTCTATTCTGAGGCTCTCTCCATTTTAAACATTTGTTTGTCAAGTACATGTGACAATATTTAAATCATACTATGAGACCAACACTAAGAATCAGTCAGACCTGTCCCTCCCCCCAGAATAATTTATTTCAGAGGACAGCACTGAATCTGCAGTTCCGGGAGAGGGACATGTCTGACCAGAGCAAATGAAGGGGGAGGAAGAGAGAGTGGAGCACATCCTGGCCCACCAAGCCTTAAGGACAATATTCCCACTCAGAGCAGCTAATCCACAGAGAAGACCACATGGCCGGCCCCACTATGAGACAAGACATCCCTCACTGACCCATAGCCCTACAGGGGACAACACTGGAGACGGTGTGGGAACTCCGCCCCATCTGATCCCACCACACCGAGGCAAAACACTAAGGGTGTGCAACAGAACAGCAAGGGGAACAGAGGAACGAAGTCCCCAGGGAATACCAAAAATAGACTTTGGGACCAGGGCTTAGCGCCCCAAGAGACTGGACTGGAAAACACTCCTGAAGGCCAACAAACAGTCCTTGAACTAACTACAAGCTTTTCTTTCTTGTTTTGTTGTTTGTTGTTGGTGGTGGTGTTTTGTTTTATTTTGTTGCTTGGCTTTACTCTGTTTTGTTTTTGTGCATGTTATTATCTCCGCAGGTCTGTCTAAATAAGATAGGCTGGATGAACAATCTGGAGGAGAAAACAACAGGACCAACAGTTTTGGGGGGACATGGGAGATGGGGAGGTGGGGGGAAGGGAAGTGGTGTTAACAAACCCAGGGACAAGGGAAAAACAAGTGATCCAAATCTGTGGTGAGGAGGGTGTAGGAGGCCTGGTAAGGCGTGACCAAGGGTAAAGTAATCAAGAGGAATTACTGAAACCCAATGAAGGCTGAGCATGATAGTGGAACAAGAGGAAAGTCAAAGGAAATAGAGGAAAGATCTAGGAGGCAAAGGGCATTTATAGAGGTCTAAATAAAGGCATGTACATGTGTAAATATGTATATGAGGATGTGGAAATAGATCTATGTGCATATATTTATAGGTTTAGTACTAAGGTAGCAAAAGTAGCAGATGGACATTGGGCCTCCACTGAATTACTCTCTCAATGCAAGAATACTTTCTTCTGTTAAATTGGCATTCTATGATGCTCACCTTCCTGACACAAAGCTGATGGTGCCCGGCTATCAAAAGATGCAGGGTCTGGGGTCTTAAAGGCTTGAAAGTAAACAAGCGGCCATCTAGCTCAGAAGCAACAAGCCCACATGGAAGAAGCACACCAGCCTGTGGGATCACGAAGTGTTGAAGGGATCAGGCATGATCACAACAAAAAGTCATCATTGCGAATGAGGGGGAGTGCGGAGTGGAGACCCAAAGCCCATCTATCTGTAGGCAATTGGACATCCCCTTACGGAAGGATTGCGGGGAGGAGTCGGGCAGTCGGTGCAATGTAGCAATGATGAAACATACAACTTTCCTCTAGTTCCTAAATGCTTCCACCACCCCCGCCCACTATTATGACCCAATTCTACCTTACAAATCTGGCTAGACCAGAGGATGTACACTGGTACAGATAGGAACCTCCTCCCTGGGAGATGGACAACAGAAAAGTGTGTGGAGGAAGACGTCGGACAGTGCAAGATATGACAAAATAATAACTTATAGATTATCAAGGGTTCATGAGGGATGTGGGAGTGGGGAGGGAGGGGAAAATGAGCTGATGCCAGGGGCTTAAGTGGAGAGCATATGTTTTGAGAATGATGAGGGCAATGAAAGTACAAATGTGCTTTACACAACTGATGTATGTATGGATTGTGATGAGTTGTATGAACCCCTAATAAATTGGTTTTTAAAAATCAGTCGGATTCCTTTACATTAACAAAGACAACTTGGAAAATAATACCAGTTATGATAGCTACCCCAAAAATGAAATACTTAGGAATAATTTAAGCAGAAAAACAAAAGATAAACCCAAAGAGACCTAGCATAGAAGGTAGAACATACCATGTAAGTGGGGAAATGTACTAGACTCGTGAATGGGAAGAGGTAGCATTTTGTCAATGTCAGTATTAGCCAAGTGATCTATGAATATAATGTGTTGCTGACTCACATTGCAATACCATTCTTGAGAGACAGACTGAGCACCGACTCCATATGGGAAGGAAAGAGATGCCAGAGAAAGCAAAGCACTGGTAAAGAATAGAAAAGTAAAAGGCCTCACACTTCCTGTTCTCAGAACATAATCCACCAGTCACAAGAAACTCCCACTGGTACAGGACAGACACTGTGGAACCGAACTGAGACTCCAGAAATAAATCCTTCCATCCATGGACACTGGGCTTTTTTAATCAATTTACTGAGGCTCATACAATTCATCACAATACATAGATCAATTGTGTAAAGCACATGTATACATTTGTTGCCCTCATTATTCCCAAAATTCGCTTTCCTTTTGGGTTCCTGGAATCAGCTCATTTTCCTTTTTTCCCCTCCCCCTCCCTTCCTTCCCCTCTCCCCCATACACCCTTGATAATTTATAAATTATTATTGTATCTTATTTTACACTGCCTGGCGTCTCCCTTCACCCACCCCTCTGCTGCCCGTCCCCCAGAGAGGAGGTTATATGTAGCTCCCTGTAATCAATTCCCCCTTTCTACACCCCC